TTAAACGAAATTGGGTGAATACATCTCATATTACTGATTTACTGGTAGTCTCGAAACAATACTTAAATGCCAAAGATAAAGTAACGTAGTCGATTGTTATAGCAAATACACTTTTGCCTCATCGACAATCCCATCAAAGAATATATGGCAAAAGGCCTGGCCTTCCTTGAAATTCACATTTGCCCTGTAACTCAAAGGCACTCGTGACAATGCTTACTTGTGCTTAATCAATAGACTCAAGGATAGAGTCCTAATTACTTTGAGCCATCACTGCGGGTTTCGTGCATAAGCAAACACAAACAGGCATATAAGCATAGACATACACACTCACAGGCTTCGAAGTTGACATATGACCGTAACTAACCAAATCACTATACCTGATCAAAATGGCCAGATATAGAGTATATATACCCCTTTTAGGGATTTGCCGGTGAGTTTTCTTGACTTATTAGCTTGCATTTGGTTGTGATGATGATACCTTGCGCTATGATGATGTTCGTAATATGAAGGACGAAAGCTTAGCACCTTTTCACTAGAATCGAAGGAGATTACCTTTGAACATCGTCAACATAAATGTTCTAGTAAAGCCAATCGACAACAGGCCAAAAGGAATCCGCCGTCATCTTCTGGTGGAATCGACCTTCGAATATCTTAGTCTACTTCTGAAATTCAAGGTGACATCCTTCCCAAAACAACTTGATACTATTTTCTAAACAGTACTATATCAATATCCGGCCTATAGTTCATAAAGGTGGGATAAGGAATCTTCTCCGGAAGTTATTTTTCCTATGCATGAATGAATATATAGGATGATATTTACGATATATTTATATTTGTGATAAGTGGAGTCTCAGTGAAGTGCGATATTTATTTTCCATGATAGTTTGGGCAACTTAGTGACCATAACTGTAACCCGACTAATCTTTCTTCTACAATTATTATAGCAAGCAATATAATCTTATTAATAAAGTCTAGACAAATGACCAACCTGGAGCATAAGCGTGAGCCAGTCTCGTAGAGCAATGCGCAAAGCCTCTCTTGGTCTGTATAGCGGAACGCCTGCTTGTCTGGGAGGCCTACTACAATTGGTTTTGTCACCAGAAACAATCTCTTCAGAATCATCACCTTGGTCCGCCAAGTCGGTTTCAACGCTGACGGAAGCTGCATGCACTGGATCAGATTGCCTAAAAAGTAAAGAAGCAGTGGAAAATCTGGATATGAGAAGGCCTAAATAATAAAAGTGCAAGTGCAAGAAGCAACTTGACCCCATACTACTCAAAATGACTAAATTCAGAGCTAAGCATTGGATTATATGCGAGAAAGTCCATTCCAGTAACCTGCGTACCTAAGGAAAATTATGCTAAATGCCAAAGGCCAAGAGCAGCTAGAAATACAAAACGTAGCATATGAAATTGGGCCCAAAATATAAAAATACAGAAAATCAGGGGTAATCCTGAAGTAAATATTGTCATTCACAATCTCTAGAGTGTTTTTAATATTCATGATAACCTCGCAAGCAAAATTCAGCCGACCGATATAGAAACTATTTTCTGTTAATTTTGAAAATATTTAGTGACAGGTTTTTTAAACCTGTAAACTTTCAGTCTCAGAATAGAGTGATAAGGAATTTCGTGATTCTTTGTATGCCTTGCAAAATGCGATCTGGAAGAAAAATAAATTGTATAAGAAAGAAAAAATAAACCCGCCTCATATTCACAAAATATGGACGGAATATATGAATCTGGAAGGAATTTTCAAAACGCATTTGTCAAAGTCTGTATGCACCAGAGGGTTCAAGGAAGAAGCCGTTAATAGACGGAAGCATATGTCGCAGTTGAGAAGCTTAGAACTATGAATGGCAGAATGGAAAAATGTGGAATAATAGTCAGAATAACATTGCATCATTTTTTCCACTCGTGGGCACAATGGAAGAGAAAAGCAT